TTTTATTTTTCAACTGCTATTGTAACAATATGCTAAGAGCCTTGTATTAAATTCTCAAGCTTTTCTGCCAAACAAATAAATTTTTATCGATATTAATTTAAAAAAAACTAATAATGATCGAAAATTTCAAATGCCTATGAATAGTTTAAATTAAGTCGAATTTTTTGAAAATTGCATGGTGGATAGAATGTACTTATATAAACATTCGGTGAAAATTACATGTATCTATGGTCATTCGTTTTAAAGGCACATCAAAAACCAAAATCGATTTTGTCGAAAAATGAGTGTGCGTAAAATTTGTTTTTCTCGATTATTTAGAAAAGTATTAAGATTTTTTTTACTTTTCACCCCCCCCCCTCCCTAAGTATCAACTAGATTCACTTTCTGATCGAACGAGGTACTGAAGTCAAAAATCGAAGCATTTTTACTGTCCCAAAACGTGATGACAGACACAAAAAAAAATAAATAAAAAATAAAAACACACATCATGGTAAAATCAATATATTCATCGCTCCGCTCAGAATCTAAAATGTAATATTAAAAATTATTTGCTTATAGTGTTTACTGGGAAATACGGAACTGCGTGTGCTGTGGACGTGTATACACGTTTTTATCAATTAAAATTATTTGAAACATCATAAAAGAATAAATTATATAACGCACTATAGATTTTTGAATTGTCTATCTAATGGAAGAAAAATCAAAAACCTATCACAATTAATGGTGTTACCCAAATTATTAGTTATGTACCTATATATTTTTAATAACATTTCAATACAACGGGCGGAAATTTAAAGAATTAGCCAATAGGAAATAATATGTATAGGTACTAAAAAGCATTTATTAAATAATAATGGTAGTACAGATTACAGATTTCGTTGTTGGATAATAAACTATACTTATAAAAGGTGGGTGGTAATTATTTAAAAAATAACATTGAATTTTTTGTTTACTTGAAATTAGTCGACGACATGACCTTCAAACGAGTGATGGAGATGGCAGATATGGTGCAGTATTGGACCACGCCAATTCTAATGGTTTGCAGTCAAATACGAATGATGAAGATGTAAGCACGGCTACAATTAAGGATATAAGTTTTTTACAAAGACCATTAAAACTCAACAGCCTGCAGTTGATGGAAATGCGCTTATGGCACGTAGTTACTTCAACACCCAAAACCAATGTTACAGTGTTGGCAGGCGTAAATCCTTTCACCCTGATGCTTTCTAATCGTGTGCACAATAATAACACAGGTTCTATAAAACCACTTGGCCTATGGTATCAAATTGTGAACTTCTTTAAAATTTAATTAAATCATTCCAAATATCCAATGTAAATATTCAGCATAGCTTTTTATATAATGCCTTCATAAAATGTTTCAAAATCCAACAGTAAAAACTATCAGAAATAAACAAATAATTGAGTATTTTATTTACCTTGTAGTAAGAATTTTCACAAACATCTATTAATTTTCTATACCATAACTAAACATAGGTGTCATTCCAATTATTTATTTTAATAATTATAATATTAAAGAATTAGAACTAAAAATAGAACATTTTTTTTTCATCTGTTATTAATTGACATTTCATGATATTTTTTTAAAATTATATTTTACGTAAGAAGTAACCTATTGCATGTATACCCATTTCATGTATAATGAATAATAAATTATGAAAAACTATTATTAATAGTATGCTATCTATTTATTTATGGCATTGGTCATAAAGAATTTAAGACGCTCGTCATCGGTTAGATATTACGCTTAATATTTGGCGTTTGTGATGCCGCTGTATTAATATTTTTTTTTTTTTATTGATTTTAAGCCTGGCTACTATGATTATTAGCTATTGTAGGGGTTAGTGATTACACACTTACCAACTGGTCAGAAATTTTTTTTCAAATATATTAGACTATATTCTATTATTGTTATTATTATTATTATTATTATTATTATTATTATTGTAATACATAATATAATAGATCAAAATCAAGATTATTATTTATCTGAACAGAAATTCAATAACAGTTAACTTATTTTACAGCTAAACAGTGTTTGTGACTTGCAGTATAGTTTTGTCTTGGTGTATGAATTAAGTAGATAACTTGGTAAATAATTGATATTATAGGTATGCATGTTATAAATGAGTCTTATTTTCATTAATAAATAGTAAGTGGGGCCTAATTTTAATATTTAGTTTCCTGTAGAGAAAATAGACCCAGTTGGTTATAGATATAATATGGTTATTAAAGGACTGTTGGGGAAATTTTGAGGAAATTTTACATCAGTAAGTATAATGTTATTTAAATGTGGATATTTAGAGGAGTCGCTCAAACAATATGACTATAAATTCATTATAATAATAATATCAAGCAAGTATTAGTGTATGTAGAAGAGTGTATCGTTAAATGACAAACATATGCATTATGGAAAAATAAACCTATAACTAAAATTAGTACAATAATAGCATGTTGTAATTTTTCAATTGATATTTACAGMAACATTATTATATATATAATTTTTCAGTTTYTTTTGTCTTCAATACTTTATCCGACCGAATTGGTAAAAATACGTATGCAAGAAACAAGCGATGACACACATTTTCAAGGTCAATCAGCAGATCAAGTTTWTAAAAACATCTGCAAATCTAAAGGKTTTAAARGTCTATATCGTTTTATACTAAWACCATTCGGTAAACAAAAAGAATACTATGATGCTGTAACTGCAATAGTGGCGGGATCTTTAGCCGGGATATGCTCATTATTAGCCATGTACTCAATCGATGTCATAAAAACCCGTATGCAGATGGCAGTAAAAAAGAGTAAATTCCAAATGATTCGAAATGTAATTCTAAGTAATGGTTCACAAGTATTGTACTCTGGTCTATTAACAACAATGATGAAAACTGTACCGGTCAGAGGAGTTTTGCTACTCACTGTAGAGTTGTACAAATCATTTTATCGAAAATATTTAACGGAAAATCCAAGTCTTCCATCAGTTTCCTATAAAAGGCTTTTTTCCATTTGTGATTTTGTATCTGGATGGACAGCTGGTTTGTTAAATTGTAGTTTAAATACTTGTATTTATTATTTATTATCATTTGTAGATACTACGATTGCATTTTATATATTATACATTATTATTCTTAGRTATTATTTCTACATTAATTGGATATCCAATAGATACAGTAAAGATCGTACAACAATTAGTGAATAATAGTACTATAAAAAAAAACCGTTAGATATTTACATTCAAGATAAAGTGAGTGAAAAAAAATATTAAATAGAATATTAATAGTAGAACTAAACAAAATTTAATTTTTATAAAATGCAATAAGTACTTATAAAATATACAACAAATATTCCTTAATTACTGATAATAAATCTTCTATATTAAATAGTTCAAAGGATATTTTAGAGGAATGATGTTTCCGATCTTAAGCGTGGGTATTGAGAATTCGGTATTTTTTGGAACTTATGGTAACACGCTGAAATTAATCCAAATACAACGTGACAATCGAACAAATAAGAATATTGATGTCAGGTTTTGCAATGATGCTGAACATTTACATAAGTATTGGCATTTGGATGTATTTTTATCGGGTTGTATTGCCGGTCTTTCTTTTGCATTGATAAACACACCAATAGAAGTTATAAAAACATTGTTACAAACAAGAAGTAAWCATTCTAATACTATTYGCTTCCACAATGCYCATAAATAACAAGGTTTTAGATGTAACTTTGAAGCAAGAAAATGTGGAAAATTCAAAAAAAGCTTATCCATTAAAAACGACCCGTGCATTTAAATTAATGATCGAACTTTATAAGGTCAATAGTATACGTTCACTATATCGAGGAGGAACATTATTGTTTATTAGGTTTACTATATTAAATTATGAGAGTAAAATTCAAAAGAAAATATTTTTTTAATAGTATCATATTTTTTTAGAGATGTTCCTAGTATGGGRATTTATATGCTCTCTTATGAACATCTATGTAGTATGTTAGTAAAACTATCATGTTCTGAAACTAACATAGAGTGTATGCCAAAATATGTGCAAATTTTATCTGGASGTGTAGCAGGTAAAACAAATAAAAAATTGAATAAATCATACTAAGAAGGACGTAACTAACAAAAATATTTAATGTATTGAATTTCATCTATGAAAATAATATATTATTATAATCAATTTTTGTATGATTTTATTTTAGGCGTACTAAGTTGGGTTATGGTGCTGCCATTTGACGTGATAAAATCCAAAATCATCACAGACAGCATCATTCAGCCATTGTATAAAGGTGCGTGGGACTGTGCAAAGAAAACGTACAACAATGGCGGCGTGATAAGTTTTTGGCGAGGATTTTGATTACTCTGTATACGGGCTTTTCCAGTTAATGAGATAGCGTTTGCCACATACGAAACGATTAAAAGCAGTTGTAGTGAAAGAGGAATAGAATTGACCAACTCGAGAAAAATACGGTTGAATCTAAGTGGATGTGATTTTATGAATAAAAAACAACACCCATCAATTGTGGCGGTCCTGGACGGATACCACAAATACGTATGCGATGGATCGGTTTTACACCGAAGGAAAAGAAAAAAAACACTTTTTGTTTAAGTCGCAGAAGTGCGGTGGTGTATATTTTATTTTGGATATTGTCGGTAGAAAAAAAAAAAAAGAACAAATCACAGATATAATAGTATGAGAGACGATACGCGCGAGGACGGTGATGGTGCGGTGGGTAGTTGTCACTCAAAACGCGGTCGTAAAACTGACTTGCTACAAGCCGGTTCGCGGTACCGGCGGTCGACATCTCCAGGCGCGCTTATCGCGTGTCGGTGTCGACCGCCGTCGATTGGCGGTTGACAGAGAGAATAGACGGCGCGGATTTCCGCGCACAGGCCGTTTGAATTCA